AAAGAAACAACGAACTGAATGATTGAATGATTAAACGATTGATTACTTGCTAAAATTAAAATAATCGGTTAAAATTTTGCCATTATATTTTATCCGAATAATTAAAATTAGAAGGAATTTTAATCAGAATTGAATAAGTTTACGATATAACCTAATAATCATAATAATATAATTAATAATAATATAATAATAATGTTGATATAATAATAATATTAATAATAATAATAATAATGATAACAATACAACAGTTTATTGTTTGGATACTTTGTTTCCGTGGAGTTTTTTTTTTCAAAGAAATCAAGTGTAGTTTATATTTTAATGAGGTAGTAGGATTGCAAGCCATTTTGATAAACGATTCCAGCAAGCAATTTTTTCTTTCCTCTTTTTCTCTATTATCATTCTTTCATAGTAGATTCTAACGATGTTTATAAATTTTTTTAACTAGTAAAATTTTCACCATTTTGAATTAGATTATTCTTCTTATTTGAATATAGATTCTTGTATTCATTATTATTATTATTATTATTAATACTCAACGTAATTATAATAATATTGTATATTTTGCACACCATCATGCCAACATTATCGTACCATTTTATATACCGAAGGTCCACGATTGATTGGGAAAAATAGATGAATATTGATTTGATTGTCCTCTAAATTCTCTCAACTTCTTGTGCTAACGATTATTTATAGATTGATTGTTTTCTTTTATGCAAATCAAGCCATTAATGCTACTACAATTATATTGAAATTAAATCTGTGTGCGTTAGAACCATTCGACGACAATAATAACGATCGAGTCCAATGGGATCCATTGTATCCAAATATCCATTTGCTAACAATGTTTTTGATATAATTCCTATTTATTTATTTTCCATAAGAAAAACGATCATCGAATTTTTTTGATTTTCAAAAAAGAATTATTTACAAATTTAAATACCAAGAAAGACAAAAAATGGCACCAGCACCATGGAAAAATATAATAAAATCATTAATTACAGAACATTTCAAAACTTCAAATAGAATGCAACCAATGCAGGTATATATATTATGTATGTATAAACTATTTATCTCCTTTATTACTATTGTTGGAAATGGCGAATTAGGTTTGATAACACGTCACGGTCCCAACATTTCGATTTCAACCAATTAAAATTTTCAAAATTCGAAATCGAAAAAAAAATATATATATTGATAAGAGTGCTGAAAGACCTCCCAACATCGTTTGGACATATTTTAATAAAGGTACAGAAAGATGTTTGGAAAGTATGATTCCACCTATAACAAAAGGAGATCCGCAATTGATGCGAGATGTCCAAATGCACCTATTGAAAGAATTTGTTTAATAATCAAAATCTAATGAAAAGAAAAAACAATAATCAAGATGGATTGAATGATTTTTATGGTTCAACAAATATTATATCTCGCTCGAAAACAAAAGACAATTGATCAAGCGTCGACAAGAATATTTGTTTGTTGTAGATTACCTTTTTTTTTGGCAGAAACCCTATTCTTCATAGAGTTTGTTAATCCATTAAAGCTTGCATATAAACTACCTCTAGATTTAAATTATCCAAAGATTTTGTTAATGTGTAAGTAACGAATATGAATGTAAAATTAGATATTGAATTATTATTAGAATTTCATATTAGATTTTGAGTTTCGAAAACTTGCCAATTTTTTCGAAAATTTTAAGTGACTTTCGCTGTCATATATTAGTGAACGGCAATAAAATATTACAAAAAAAACACGTTTTTTCTTCTCCAGGAAAAACTGATCAGATTGGGATTTTTAAAAATTTTCACTGCTGTTTAAGGATTGTCAATTAAATTCTTTTTATACTCGTTATTTAATCACTTATAGAAGTATAAATGGTCGAAAGTTTCATTTATAAATCATTTTTCATAAGAATTTGTATAACTCTAGCTCAATTAAACATTTTTCATTTTGTTCGAACTATTAAATTCGCGTTACAACGGATTTTTTAAACATGATTAGTAATTTTGGTAACTGTATGGAACCTAATTTTTTTTTTATTAAAAGTACAAATACTGTTGAAACATGGAAACTTGAATTGTTCTCATTTGAAATTTTTTAGTTAAATTCAAGTACGTTATATAATTCATTATTGTTTTACTTCTATTATTTTCAATGGTCTGCAAAACCGTGATTTTATAAAAAATAACATTAAATTTCAAGCTGGCTCGAGCTAGTGCTGAACTCAAATATTCAAGTCGAGCCAAGCAGGTTAATAAGAAAATTAATTAATAACCAGAATCCTGGATCTTTGTTTTAGTAGGTGGGATGAAACCACATTCACTCATGGGCTAAATGCAAGAGAATGGAGGGTAAAAGTGAGATACAACTAAATCCTTGCCATGACGGATTTGCTTCGCATATAAAATCCGTTGTGACAAGATTAGTAATGTAATATAAATAGCAATCTTGCCACAACGAATTTCAAATAAAATTTTCTTATGTGTCCCGTTCATCCGTTATGACAAGGTTTGACTGCATTGAAGATAATGAAAATGAAGGAAAGTTATTTTATCGTAGAAAGAAAAATATAAATTGCGTCACAAATTTATTCTAACATTAGATTAATTTTAATTGTGATTTTATAAATAAATTTCAATCTTCTTATGTATATGAAAATTCTAAATAAAACAATTATTACACATATTTGACAATAACTTGTAATGAAAATGGTAAGGTCACATCGGTGACTGTTATTTCGTCTCCTTCATTTATAAATTCTGTTAATTTTTTCTGTAGATTTTCTCGAGTTTGAATTTCGAAATTTGGTGGAGCTTGCCAATAAATTTTCTTAAATCCGTTTGTCATTGATAAACTTGGTTTCCTCAGTTGACTAAATAATATTTTGATAATGGTTAAACATGTGCTATACTTTTTTAAAAATTATTTCTTATTTAAATCATAAATTAATTTTACTACTTACATTTCAGGATCTTCTTGTAAATATCCAATAAAATCTTCAACCAAATAATCTCTATTAACTTCTATAGTAACACTTTGATTACCACAAACTGGACAATTT